TGATTTATTGATTTATTGATTTATTGATTTATTGATTTATTGATTTATTGATTTATTGATTTATTGATTTATTGATTTATTGATTTATTGATTTATTGATTTATTGATTTATTGATTTATTGATTTATTGATTTATTGATTTATTGATTTATTGATTTATTGATTTATTGATTTATTGATTTATTGATTTATTGGTTTATTGGTTTTATTGATTTATCGATTTATTGATTTATTGATTTATTGGTTTATTGATTTATTATGGCAGTGTTGCCATATTAAAATGTGTAATATCTGTAATACGTTTGACGAAAATATCTTTGGATGAAAAATCCGCGTTTATGTATTTGCAATTTATTCGTGTTAAACATAGAATAAGCAACAAAAATAAAAATTCTTTTATAGGTGCGGAATATGTTGTATGATCGAAAAAAGTCGTTTAGTTGGCTTGGAAATGACGGTTATTGACACATGCCATAATATTTTATATATGAAATAACAGCAATCTTCATTTCAAAGCCAACTCTGACGCCGTTCTTTGTTTAATCATATAATATTACTATTAAATTGTTTAATGATAGAAACGTACTGTACCCAAAATCCGTAAATCTACGGATTAATCAGTAGTTCTGGCAACATTGTCTCCGGCAACCACTCACTCTCTCGATTGAAAGCAGAACTACGGTACAGTATTCTTTATCCGCTGCGCTGTAAACGACATCAGCGCTCGGCGGCGCAGAACTAAACTAAATCTCGGAATTGTCAGACAGGCTGACGTTAACGCCAGCTACATCTCGGGCAGGTTTTTTGCCACGAAATCGCTCATAAGATTGCGCATTTTCATTTTCTTATCTCTTCAATTAACGGTTCAAATGTATTACCACTACTTCTATCGACTTTCTGACTGTCCCCTGTAAAGCCACATCGGCGTCTTCGGCCCGAACACACTCAAAACTTCCTTCCGACGACGCTGTGCCTGTTCGTAACGTGGAGCGACGACACGCGGACTGTGCGGAAAGTTCATCCTGCTGTTCAGATATTTGGCGTCGGAGTTTTCCACCAAATCGGTGTGAGTTTCGGGAAAATTTTGACTGAAAATTTCACGGATTTTTTCTTTCGCTCGCGTCGGATTGGACTTAGAACTTTATAGTGTGTTTTAGTGGACAGATTTTTAGTTTTTTTGGTCTATTATAGTTGGTTTTATTAGTAAACAATATGGTAAGCATCAGAAATATGATTAATTATTGCCTTTTGGTCGTTTTTATGACAGAAAAACAGTAATGTATTCTAGTTTTATTGCTTGTTTATTTAGTTTATATCAAAAATCTATAATAAGCATCCAAAATGTGTTGTATTTTTAGATAACTATTAAACAGTAGATAACTTCTAAATACTATTGTCCTTCACACAGAGAAATGCATTTTTGCATCCGCTGGAACCACTTCTGAAAGCAGTTACTCTAGTCGCTTGTTAGTACCTTCAAAATTGCGTTTTGAAGGCGCTGACTGCATTTTTTGGACACTAGAACCTTTGACTTTGACCACGCAGTTCATTCTTAATTTTTGGAAGAGTAAAAAAGTCGTTAGGACTTAGGTCGGGACTGTATGGAGGATGGTTCAACAATTCGATGTTTTCTTGCTTTAAAAACTCAACAATAGGTTCGATTCTGCTTTGTTTCGTAGCTACAGGGTGTTAAAGTCTTTATAACCTTTCGATTTATTATAATTTTCTTCCAAGTACTTTTAGTAATTTGCTGTTATACTGTTTGTGTCCAGGAAGGGTTCATAGTTTCATAGTTGTCGATTTTCGAAAGATTGATACATGCATATTATTTCGTATATTTTTCATTTTATTGATTATATGGAAAGCACTGTTCATTAAAATGTTGTATCCTATGTTATAGGGCTTGTTTCTCTCTACAATTT